TCATATAATATAACGAAATATCTCAATTGCAATCGTTAATATAATGAAAGTATTTTCCCAACATTGATACATATATATGTATACCTATACAGATATCTATATATTTACATATATATATATATATATATATACACTCATAGTCGATGTCGGTCGGGTCGCAAAATTATTAAGCGTAATGAAAATACGTAAGGACATAGTTGATGAATAGATAAAGCTTAAATTGCGGCATGATATAGCATCACGTTATATGCCATATCCGGTAAATTTATAAGAACGAATGGCGTGGCTCTCGACGCCATGATCAAAGAATCCAATCTACACGACTACCTAGCAACCTATCGAAATAAATTACAATGTTATGTGATCTACTTATGCAGATTGCTTGCGACAAACTTGATAAAAGGTATAGACTATCATTCGTTCCGTTATATAGAAAGATACATTACGTACTTATCTACTTACGTATCTATATACATCATACGTGCTTTTTTCTTACGATTAGAAAATACTAATTAGAAGTTATGAACCGTAATAAAATATTCACAAGCTCGAATTAAAAATCTTATAATTACCGATAATTTATTGGATATAAATATGTTGAGTGGTTTGCATTTTGTTTCCATGAAATAGACGATTACCTTGCTTGTTTATTTGCTACTGTAAAAACTGATGCTCAGATTTTCTGATCCATTTCAAAACGCAAAAAAAAAACGTATTTCGCGATACTAACACGATAATTCACTCAGACATTTAAATGAACATTGGACAAATGATTATATGATAAAAATAAGGAAATATGTGTTTAACCATTTATGCTACTGATTCTTAATTTCTGAGATATTATTACATTTTTAACAAATTTTTTGTTTCCCTTTATATTTTATATATTAATAATAATAAATAGTAATAAACATATCGTACATAATATATCTTAACACGCATTAAGGATAAAATAATTGAAAACTTTTGATAATTTACTAATTATTTAAACGGCCTTTAAAATACATGGAGTACAATAAACTAATATTTCAATAACATATTATTGAAATAATTTATATATTATTGATATAATTTATATAGAATTTATTAATGTTTATTATAAAATGTACAATAATAGTATAATACATTTACTTAATCATTTAAAAAGACGATAACATGCAGGAAAGTTCAAATAATTTTAATTTAAAATCCTAATACTTAAAAATTTTTATCTTGAGTTTGTTGGCCTTGTAATATAAATATAAATGATTTTTTAATTAACTTTGACTGATTACCGATTTAATTTTTCTTTGTATTCCTGATGAGTAAACTAAACATAGCTCTCTCGAGAATATCTTTCCTTGCAAGTAGCAATGAAGACTTGAAGAAAGTATATTTCTATATCAAACATTTCTTGAATAATTTATACAATTTCTTATTATAACAGCGATACTAATTATTTTCTTTATATTTTTCTATTTTAGAACTTCATTGTAATCACAGCGCATAACAATGAAATAATCTAGTGTTTGTATCGGTAAAATAAAAATATCGCAAAATAGACGCAGAGTTTGTTCATTCGTGTTGCGTGATTTAAACAATAAGTTTTTTTTTTGTATGAACTGCGTGCGATGCAATCGTTAGAGTTAATGTTTGTTCGTAAAGTTTATTGCTTTTTTAACAGTCGTACAGACTGTATTTATAAAAGATGATAGAATTTCGCGAATTAAGGTCAGTGATCATTCGTTAAAAAATAACTATCACGTAATAGAGTCAGAGTATCATTAAAAATGATCTTTACCTACTTCGATATCGATCTACCTCATTTTCAACCAGCTACGAATCATCCACCCTCAATTTTGACCTAAATTGTGAACGAGTAATAAGTAGTAAGTAAATTTTTAAGTCCCTCTGATCATTTAATCATATCGAGGACGAAAGATCCGTATCGGTACGAGTAATTGGTTGTAATTAATTAATAAAAAAGCATTGAATGACCACGAGTAAATTTCTCAAGAGATTTACTCGTGAATAGTTTCTTGTGTATTCATTTATTTATCAAATTAGAATAATATCTTCTTGTTCAAATTTAATTATAATTATTTTAATTATAACTATTTTAAATATTGAATATTTCATTGCATTATTAAATATTTTTCTCGCGCGGAAATAATAAAAAAAATCGCTATTAATGAATTCTAATAAATAATGAGCAAGAGGATATTCGCAATGGATAGTCTCTAGAATTACAAGCTAAATTGTATGATTTTTTGTTTTCTGATAATTAGCGTAATCGCTTATAAAGAGGAGCATCCGAAGATTCTTTTTTATTACATTTTTAAATAAAAATTAATCAAAAATTTAATCAATTTTATTGATAAAAGAAAAGTCTCGATAGAATCATTGCTTTTGAATGAAAAATTTCGAGTAGATTCATTGCTTTTGAAAGAGTAAAATCAAATAGAGTCATTGATAAAAGATAGAGAGACTTGTAGAATTACAGTTCGTACGTTCTAGAATAAATTAATCAATTTTTAGCACAGGATTTTCAGCAATCAATTCTCGTTTCTCTACCTATAATATCTCCATGTTTTTTTTTTCAGGGTTGCTTTAAATGTATCTAGTTTTTCTTTCACGTTTTAAAATAAAGGACAATTTTAATTCTTTCGCATTAACGATAGTTATCGATTGATCTATAGTAGTGATTAGGGCATGAAACAAAGAAGAGATTACATGCCGAAGAGATTCTCACAAATAGGTGGCTCAAAAGGGCTGAATTATTAATCTATTAAATTATTTTCGAGAGATTTATTAGAAATTTTTGAGAATGACTTTTAGTCATATTTTAATTTTATCATGTTGTCATTCAAAATGCTCTTATAGTGATGGATGTATGGATATAAATTTGAAAAATTAAGACGATGTGAGTGTTCGCGGATAGAATTAAAAGTTCTATCCACTAAGAGACTTCATTTTATTTACTCGTAAATTTGATTAGATTATCTTGCGAACACGAATTTTAAAGTAAATTCAATGTTAATCCGTGGATCTTCAGATGCAGTAACCTCCACGTGGTGAGACCTGCGTCGGTAATACTTGAGATATATCGAAATCTTATTGGATGTAAATATTATCGAACGAATGCCTGGATATTTCAAGATTTTTCTAAAATCTTTTTTAATCTAATTCCAATTAAACATTGATGTATTTACATTTTATATCACTAATCATATTTCAATAGATATATAAATTAGATATGAAGGAATTATCTAAAATAATTCCTTAATGAACGAAACTGAAAAATTTTAATTTCTATATATTTTCTTATTTATTCATGATAATACATATATAATTATTTAATGACTATTTAGATAAGTATAATTTTCTAATGGGAAGAAAAAAAAAAACAAATTTTCTTCGTCTGTTATTAAAAAAGTTAGATTTTCCTTGGACTTTTAAATAAAAATAATAATAATAATATAAAAGGACGAATAATTTTAATTGATCTGTCATTATTACGTCGATATTATTTTCTATATGTCATAATTTATATCTTACGTATTCCATCGTAAATAACATCGAGGTAATGAATCAATGCTAAATAGCTAAATAAGCTTTATCTATTTGAAGAAATAATTAAATAGAAATAGAAATTATATATTATATAAACTTGTAAAATTAACAAACACCTTTTCAATTAATCTATAACCACAGAGAAGTATAATATATATATATATATATATATATATATATATTTTCTCTCTCTCTTTCTCTTTCTCTCTCTTTTGCTTTTACCATATCCATTATTATTTTTACAACGTAAAAAAATCTATCTGTTACACATTTAACACGATCGTTAGATTACACGCGTAGGAATATATAATCTTACAAAACAAACTTATACACAGATATAATAAGTAACGCGTAACGGTGACACGATCTTTCTCTATTGCACTTTTATTTTATATTTTGTCCATACCTGTCGTTAAGGTCGCATACTCTACGAGCAAAAAAATGATTAACCCTTTTTGCCGTATATGTACGACCAAAGAAGCATCTGTTATCGAATTATATCGAGACGACAAAAAAAGAGCATGAGTGAAAGAGAAAGAACGAAATAAGAGAGAGAGAGAGAGAGAGAGAAAGAGCGACTGACTGACAGGCGTTACCACAGCACGGTGGTTAAAAGGGATAGTAGGAGGGAAATTGAAGGGGTGTGGGTTTTCGGACAATGCGAATCTCTAATTATACGTGCGCCGTCTTCTGCTTTCCTCTCTTATTCTTTTTTCATTGTAAAATCTCTTGCAGCCAGGTATTATCGCCTTAAATCAACAACGCCGCTTCTCAAAGAAGAGAAAAAGAGAAAGAGAATATAAGAGAATGAGAGAGAGAGAGTGAGTGAGTGAGTGAGTGAGTGGAGTGAATGGGTGAGTGAGGTAAGGGTAGGAGTTACGCGTTCGGAAAAGAAGAGAGAAACTCTGGAAGCAGAAAAGAAGGTACGAGAGGGTACTTTAATAGCAGGTCTCGCTTAATGACCCACGTCCCAAAGCCCAAACTGAATGTCATTGCAGTAGATTCGATCACGTGACTGTTAACTTCAGTCGAACTACTACCAATGGCGTAAACGCGATCGATTTCAATCGATTTTATCTCTATAGATCTTCGAAGCTTTATTCTTATTAATTAAATTTATTTGCTATTTTATATATATATATATGTGCGTATGTATGTATATTACTTTTATAAAATAATTTATAATCAACGTTATATCGGTAGTCTTTCTAAATCGTGGAATTAAAAAAATATTATATTTTTTTTTTTCTGAGCAACGCAAGTTCATAAAATCTTACTTATTTTTATTAATGATGCACGAATAAGCCATTAAGAAAGATTATATTTTAAAATGTTAATTTAACAAACGAAATTACAGTTTTCTTTCGTTAAATTCGTAAGACGTTAAATAAGGTATGTGGCGTCATCTGACGAGCATACTTCATACGACATTCTTAAACCATTCTAAGTCACGTTGGAATACCGAATGTATATGGTTTTTGATCGGATAGATTGAATAGCATGAAATTATTTATATAGAGCTAATATTCTTTTTTTGAAAACAACTTGATTGATTTTTATAATAAAATAAAATAAGAAAATGTTGCGAAACTCTGTCAATGGTTGTTGCCGAATATTATTAAAATTAAATACTGTACAGGTAAGATCTGTGATTCTTGTTAATATTAAAGGTTATGTATGAAGATTATTTTTATCGTTTTTACGGTTTTTTTTTTTTTCTTTTTTATAGAGCAATATAACATGTAAATCAATTCACATAGTACATCGAACTAGGCGTACTATTTTAAAAAATTCAATTTCTCTTAATTCGAATCGTTTCGATTCTCATATATTAAATGCTTTCTTTGTACGGCATGCAAGTACAAACGATACAAAGGAAGTTCCTGAAGTAATTCGAATAGATTTAACGAATCATACGACTGTTAATAAAGACGATCCATTATTTGAAATACCAGGTAATTTATGATGTATTTTTTTTTTTTTAAAACATTTCAAATCAGTTATCTTCATATGTTCATTCATGTGTATTAGATATACCAACTCCGGTAGAAGAGGTAGTTACAGTGGTACAAAAGATACATCCTAATGGTGAAGTAGCATTAGAAAGTCTAGGTTTAGGAGGATTTAATCCTGTAGGTCTTATTCAATCTTCTTTGGAATGGTTGCACATCTCTTGCGAATTACCTTGGTGGAGTACGATTGCTATAGGTAAATAAAGAACTTTTTCTTTTATTATACTTCATTTAATTGAAATAAAAGAATTATTTTTTCAGGAACCTTGATCGTTAGATCACTCCTATTGCCTGTAGTAATAAAATCTCAAAGGTATTCAGCCAAAATGAGTTTACATTTTCCACAAATATCTAAATTACAACAGAATTTAACAGATGCTAGAATGAGTGGGGATCATTATCAAAGTATAAAAATTTGTTGATTATATTGGAACAAAAATATAGATTATATGGATATAAATTATTAATAGATAATTATGTTTCTTTTTATTTTAGCTGCATTATATACGAATGAATTATATAAGCTTATGAAGGAATCAGGCTTAAGTCCTTGGAAATCTTTTCTTCCTATGCTTATGCAGGTATATAATCAATAATTATTATATACAGAAAGTTATTATAAAGTATATAAAATAATATTAATTATTTTTAATGAAATATGTGTATAATAATTTTTCATAGGCACCTGTATTTCTTTGCATCGTCTTGGCTTTGAAACAAATGACAAATTTACCAGTTGAAAGTTTAAAAACTGGTGGTCTATGGTGGTTTGAAAATTTGACTGTGTCAGATCCTTATTACATATTACCTTTAATAACAAGTGCAACATTATTCATTACGATTGAAGTTGGAACAGATTCATTACCAACTTCATCAATGGGAATGGTTAAATATGTTTTACGTTGCATCCCATTAGTCACATTACCAATTTCAGCAACTTTTACATCTGTAAGTGATGGATCTCTAGCTTCGCAATATTATAGTCATCAAATAATATCTTAATAATTGTTACAATAACAATACTCTTTAATATTATTAAAGTAATAATTATAATTTGTATTTAATTGCAGGCCATATTATTTTATTGGACAACGTCAAACTTTTTCTCTTTAATACAAGTTGGTTTATTAAGAACAGAACGTGTAAGAAAATTTTTAAATTTACCATTGATAATACAACACAAATCTACTGATCCAATTGCAAAGAAAGGATTTATAAAAGGAATAAAAGAATGTAAGAACAATGTTTTACCTATAAATAATATTTAATCTATTTATTTAAAATCTTTAATTTATTATTTATTTTTAATTAGCTTGGGAAAATATAAAAATAACGAAGCAGATTGCTGAAAGAGATCACATAGATATGGTGAAATTTAATAATGCTGGAAGAGGTCCTGTAATAAAAACATATGCATACGATCCAACGAAACAAATCAAACAAGCTAAAATACGCACAAAAAATAAATAAATATAAAAAGATAATTCATTGGAATAATTGTAAAAATGTAGAGTTTAGTATTATTTATAAGTTTACTTATTAAAAATAAAGTAATAATTTTATTTATTACATTTTTGAATTATTTCAGAAAAAAAATAATTTCACCATATTTATTGCACACAATATAATATGTCTATTAGATCTTAAATCTTTTGATCTAATCTATTGTAAGGAGAAAGCATAAATAGTAAAGTTTTAATATTTAGAAACACAAACGCAATTATTGATTACTTCAACTAAATGTGAATTTTCAAGTGCAGCAGCTACGCGCTCTTTATCTGCTAATTGTTTGTTAAGTGCCGTTTCAGATATATGAGTACCAGGAGTTATCTCTACGCATACTTTAAATCTAGGTGGTAAAGCTCTTAATAATTGTACTCTTATTGAAAGACCAATCAAAGTTGCCATACTACAATGTGGTATCGTTGGTGTAAATTTAACGTTCACAATATTCTCTGCATCGTTAACCTAAAATATTATAATTTTAGAATTATTAAAAAAAAAAAAAAAAATACATAAATAAAATGATATATCCTATAGCATTACCTGTATAAGATTTTGTTCTACAACATTTAGTTCTTCTAACGTTAAAGGATGTTCAGGATCATTGATATTTCTGATGATATCTGAAATTGAATACAATTAAAACAAAACCACTTAATAATTTTTTTTTTTTTTTTTTTTTTTATCAAATTGTAATAATAACAACCGAAAACTTCTCTCGCATCAAACGCATCAACGATATCTTCATCTTCTTCAGCAGCTGTAACTTGTCTATCTTCTACTTTTTTATATAATTTTGGATTAATATTTTCCAAATTATCCATCATCGTCATTATGTATATCAATGAAGATATAAAATCAACATTATCAGATTCGATATTTACGCATAATGATAGATCATTATGAACAATTATATGAAATAATTCCAACGTTTATAATTACATATTATTATAATGATAACCTAATTCATAAACACGACAAGGTTATTGACGTTGAATTTAACAAACACTAGAGACGATAACACCGTAAATTTTTAATTACAAATAACACAATGAAATTATATTTCTAACACATAGAGAATAAAGAAATATTATCTTTAATGATAATAAATAAAATTAAAGTTTTTCCAAATAATTATGTAAAAATAATATATTTTACAAGAGACTACTGTTGAGAACTACTTTTATTGAGGAACTATTAATGGTGAAGCGCTTTAAGCTGAATTTCTAGCGTATTTTCTTATTGGTTAGTGATCAGCCCTTAGATATTGTGTAATTTTTATAGAAATGATGTTTGTCTTTATGTTGCTGAAATGTGGATGCGACAAAAGTCGAAAAGTTTACTGTAAACGCTAATACCACGTGTATAATGATCAATTACCCCTTGTTCTATTCTTTTTGGGGGTTATGTGTAAAATGTTAATTAATAAATATTTCCATTGAATATTATACATTTCGTTTGATTTTAACAAAATCGCTTATCGTCTAATTTATATACAATCAGAAAGTATAAGTAATTAATGTAAGTTATATACGATAATTTTATCGTAAAACATCATAGAGGTTATGTGTACATCGTTTTGGACGTGCTCAAATGTTACATGAAATTTATATATTAAATAAAATAAAAATCATGATAAAACATATGTAATAATAATTTAAATTGTTCAAATAATTGTCTTTATTTTATTAATTAATAGAATTAAAATGGCAACTTCATTAGCGGAACAATTAAGGAAGCTAAGAGCCCCACAAACTGCGATACTGTTACAAGATAAAAAACGTTCAAGTTTGTTATTTGATCCAAAGGAAGCTGCAAATTTAGATAAAGAAACAGTATTAAACATTGGTAACATTCTTTTTTATTTAATTAAAAGTTATTAGAGTTCGTAAATATGTGATTGAATTATTAAATATTAATAATATAATATATGTATTCATTCACAGGTCAAAGTGGCTTACAAGAATTGATTAAGCTATCAAACTTATTTATAGAATTCGAAGAAAATCTATTTGCCCGGAGTTCTATGAACTTAGAACGTTCGATTTGTGATGTTAAGATCAACAAAAGACTTGATAGCGCAATAGAAAAATTTCTTATATTACTTTCACCTTATTTTCTTTTGAATACAGCTCACAAAGCTCTTGAATGGTTGATATATAGATTTCATATACATCAATATAATAAGGATCAATTTCTTCTTTTGATTTTGCCTTATCATGAAACTCGTATTTTTGCCAGGTACGTTAAAATATATAATTAATATATTAATTGTTTATTTCAATTAATTTAAACATATATTTTTTATTTATTAGAGCATTACAATTGATAGATCTGACAGATCCTACAGACAAGTGGCGTTGGCTCAAGCCATTACAAAAACCAGGAGTACCTTTAGCTTCTAATACACTTATAAACAGAGTTAGTTCTGATAATGGTATTTTAAAAAATATGTGCACTCATGTTATTACAGCAACAAAGACGTACTCGGAACAAGCAACATCTTTAAGTACTCTATATTCATTTTATACTACCGTATTAATTGGTGTTATCGATTGTTCATCTACCATTACAGAAGTTCAAACTGGTCACATACTACCAACTCTTTTAAAAGGATTAGCAAGTACAATTCCAGATTTTGCTGCTAGCAGTTATATGATTTTGTCGAAATTATTAACAAAGGTAAAGTTGAAAGATGATACTATGGAGAAATTATTATTAAAAACATTTAAAAGACCATGCTTACAACTAGAGGCAATGCTCTTGCTTCTTTTCTTATATGATTCTGCATTTTGTCGATTGACTTATATGTATGGTAGTGTTGTACGAAGATTGGCAGAGCTCCCATGGTTTATAGAAATGATAATTAAATTACAATCTTCAGGAATCAATGTAACAAGACTTATCGTTCCATTGATACAAACTGCATGTCACGAGATCCTAATAGACACGAAAGAAACTTTATCAGTTCAGAATATGGTAAATAATATGATTTCTTCAATAAAATTGGAAGATAATGCAGTAGATACATTATTATCAAGTATTCTTAAAAAGAATTTTTCTGAAAATGATGTATCCAAAGAATATAAAGATTTCTTGGTTCATTTATATCGATCATTGGAGAGAGGATATCCGGAAAGATTTGACGACTATTTAAAAAATCTTATGAAATATAATGAAAAAAATAGCAGCTCTAAAGTGGAATTAAAATTTCTCACATCCTGGCAATTTGGTGCACACGGTGCATTTGAATCAGTAGAAATATTGGATAGATTGGTTCATACCAATGCAGAACAAAGAATAATTGCATTGGAAGCGCTCGCAAATGACAACATAAATATACCTGAAAATTTTCAAGAAATGATCAGGAATACTCTCAAGGCTAGATTCAATGATGACGAAGTAAACGTTATCAGGAGTTTGCTTTCATTTCCTATAAAACGATTAACAAAATTACTTTCTACGGATACAATAGTCGATGAATTATTAGTTTTGTTATCAACCTGTCACAATGATTCTAGAAAAGTATTGGCCAAGCCAGCATTGAGGATACTTTTAGAATTGTGCGACGATAGCGACGACACAAGTATATTTATCACAACCTTACCATATTTATTTCCTAACAAGGATAAGGACGTAGAAGTTGCTATGGAAATACTATTATCAAATTTTGCCAAGAAAAATAGTTATATGCAAAAGGTTAAAGCTGACATTGGAAGATCACCAAACGCAGAAACGATCACTTCGGCTGTGTTTCATAATATATTAAATTCAGAATTATTACCACCAACTGAAAATATATTGAATGCTATGAAGCAACAAATTCCTCATGGCGATGCCGTTTCCATGTTTTTTAATATGATTTTATTAGGATCTGTTTGTAGAGTACCCGTTGGTTCATTAAAACCAGAACTAGCCAGAGAAGTAATTGAATTGGCTACAGAAATACTTAGAATGTATCCGCAAGTTAAACTTTTGCCAAATTGTAACAATTTAACTGGGAATGATATACAGTCGGCACTTGAATTAACTTCGAATGGTATTTTACCACTTCAAGTAGGGACATACGTTCTCGAAATGGTTCACAGACGTTTGGATTTAAAATCCAATCCTACATTCGATTTTGACAATGATTCAGATCGTAGTAATCTTATATTACGACTTCTCGAAATGTTTTTCGAAGGTATAGATAATAAATTTCAATGTAAACATTATTCACGATGTTTGCAAATATTTTTTCAAAGACATTTTACAACCATGAAAGATTTAATTCGTTTTTTATCACAATTGTTTATAAAACCTGTAAACGTTCAAACGTCACTTCACTGTTTACAAATATCATTGATACTTTTGGAACAATGCAAATCCATGCAATGGGCCTTACAGGACAAAGTTTTTCTAACGAATCTACTTCTATCACTTGCAAGAGAGCACAATGAGTGCAGAATCGTTGCTATAGATATTTTGAAGAAATTAACGCAAACGTTCCATTTAACGATGGAACCATTTTCAGTATTCCTTCAAGAATTAGTAAACAGAAGTCCAGAGATATATATGGATCCAGATCAATTGTCCTTGTATCTTTATGTTTTACTATCACCGGATCCTGACGTAAGCAGTCAATTCAAATCCGATATACGTAAGAAACTTCAACAAGTACAACAGCAATTATTTGATATTGTCACAGACTCGATAACACCAATGTACGTTAAATCGCAGTTATTGAATATTCTAGTACACGTAAATGGGCCAAAAATTTTACAAAATCTTGCAACGCTTGGTCTTGAATTTCTTGAAAAATTAAATATTGAAACGAAACAGGAATCAATTGGAAACGCATTGAAAAATATTCTTCAACGATTTAACAGCGTAACTACGAAAGCTTTAACGAATGAAAAAGTCTGGAAACTTTTTGAAACTAGTATATTGGAATATAAAGGTCAAATAATAATGGATAACAAACTATGCCCCCCAAGTGTTATAATTTTAAAGCAAATCGACGAGACGTTCTTCGAAAGTGTTGGTAAAATTTCAAATCAATTGCAAGGAAAAATTCTTGGGATATTGTTGGACATAGCTACGGATTGTGACGTTGGTAATGTAATATCAAGTGTGAATAGAGCAATAAGAAGAATACGTATGCATGCTCGACTTATAGTAGACGAGTTACAAAAGATGAAAACGTTCAATGAAACGAAAATTGATACAAATCAGACAAATGTAAGAGCAAGACGATCAAGTCAACTTCGTGCCATTCCCAATCCAATGATGATAAATAGCAGAGATTGGAAACGTGGAGTAATCCTATTGGAATTCGTACAACGTGCTGAAAATATAGAAAAAGAAGAACTTCTTTATCCAATTTTGTTCGATTTACTTAAAACATGTCTCAGTTTCGAGGAACAAAGTCCGATCGAATATACGAATCAATTGATCTTGTCGACGATACATCGACTTACAACCGTAAAACTTCCAATTCGTGACGCTCATCTTCAAGTGGATCTAATAGCACAGTGTATAAGAACATCGAGAAATCCTCAGACTCATCATCATGCTTTATTACTACTGGTCGAATTATTGAAGATCGTTAATATTCCTTGTGCATTTCACACGATCATGCCTATATTTACATTTATGGGTAGTTCCGTTGTTAGACAGGACGATGCTTATTCTATACAAATTATATCGAAAACCTTAGAAACCGTAGTACCCATTGCAAATGCTAAAAACGACGAGACACATGCTTGCGAAATTTTAAGAACTTTTATCGTATCATTACCAGATATACCAGAACACAGAAGGACACCTTTATTCGTAAAACTTTTGCAATTGCTTGACGATCATCTTCATTTGTATTATCTTTTAACGTTCGAAAGTTATGTACTTTCGAGGACACGTATAATCAATGAAAAAACGCCATCTCAAAGGCTAGAATTTGCCTTGAATGTTTCGAAGGAATTCACACCGAAAAGATTGTTATTGGTTTGCGTGAAATTGGCACGATTTTTGAGAGATATGCCCGTCGATATTGAAGAAGAGAAAGATCGAAAGGCGGCCATGTCGTTTCCACATAAACACGTTTTCGATGTTACCAAGAATACACCGAAACATCTTAGACATTACAAATTCATATTGGTTCAATTTCTTGGCAATCTGTTATCAACGACAGATTTTATCAATCGAGTTGCCCAATACAATTTGGATGAAGTGAACGAGATCAGGCCGCATTACGATGCTTTAATAATCGAATTGGTTCTTTTGATACATAATACTTCTAAGACTGCTGATATATATCAGGGTAAGCCAATAGGGAAATATTGGAAGGTTCTTTTACATCATCTTTACGATGTCCTTGATCTCGTTAACAATCTTTTACCAAACAATATATTTTTAATTAGCATCAAACAACTTTTGAATCATGAATTGTTAACGGTTAAAAGGAAAGCTTTAGAACTGCTCAATGCAAGACTTCAACAGAGAAACTTTAACGAAGATGATCACGTCGATCTATTAGAATTGATCGATACATTATTAGAAATTATCGACGTTAACGTAAAACCAGAAAATCAAGAAGGTGAAGTTGTACAACAAACTGTTTTAATTACGTTCAAATTGTTGGCAAAGTTGTTAGCAAGCAAACATCCTGCGGTATTCAAACCCGTAAGTAATTAGATTCTTCTTATCAATTATCCAAGTATTAACGATCTAATGCGTTATATCTTTCCTATATAGATTCTCGAAATGACTACGGAACTCTTAAAAACACGTGATGGTCCAATATTAGGAAGTACGGCATTATGTGTTGCAGAATTATGTAGCTGTTTACGTACTTATGCTATACAATCATTAAACAAATTCGTACCTGCGATTATTCATTTGATGAAGACACATTGTCACGAGGAAATACCGGATATCGTTACTATCAGTATCGTCAGTGCCTTCCAAAAGATCGTCGAATCGATTGGAAATTTCTTGTCACTTTATTTGGATCAACTATTGTACGAATTAACCCGACTGAATTCATTTTATACGGACACGGATCATCCTAAGGTATTTTTATTAAAAAAAAAAAAAAAAAAAAAAAAAAAAAAAAACCATTATTTTTTTTTTCTTTTTTTTTCTTTTTTCTTTTTTCTTTTTTCTTTTTTTGGAAACACATAATTTTGCTGAAATTAATACGTAGATATTCTTGACTTGTACATGCAGATCGGTGTCGTCGTTTCCCGTTTAAAATCGACAACGCAAAAATTGGCAAGCTTCGTACCTTTGCGTGTCTTGTTACCAGCCATCAACAGAACTTACGATAGATTATGCAAGAAAAAATCTTACAAATGTATACCACCTCTATTAAGTATCCTTTCCGAATCATTTCTTTCAGTACCAGCTACTGATTTAAATGCGGCTATACCAGATCTCGCGAGTTTCTTCTTAAAGGTATTTCAATTTCGCGAGGATATTGTATCTAGTCAAGATGATATGGAAATCGATGGTGTAAATATATCTGAAAATATCGAGACAGTTGAGGAGAGTGCTGGTAAAACTTTGGTAGCATTAGTTTTGAAATTAAGCGAGGCCACGTTTAGACCACTTTATTATAGATTTTACGATTGGGCAGCAAGAAATCCAGATCACAAAGAACGTAACATAACTTTCTTCAGGTAAGTCAAAATGATATTCTTGTATGTTCTAACGAATCGATTTAATTCACTGTTTTTTATTTTCCTTTTTTTTTTCTTTTTTTCTTTTTTTCTTTTTTTCTTTTTTGTTTTTCTAGACTTTCAGCCAACATAGCAGATTGTTTGAAATCATTATTCGTCCTTTTCGCCGGCCATTTCTTAAAACACTCAGCAATTTTATTAACCAATAACAATCTGTTTGTTTCTCAAGAATCAGGAGAATTAACTCTTCCCGAGGAATCGAGTAGAATCGAATTGGTGGAATCAGTTTTATTGACGCTCCATCGAGTTTTTACTTACGATGCCAATAATTTTGTTAATCAGGAACGATTTGACGCATTGGCTCAACCAATCGTTGATCAATTAGAAAATACGATGGGTACAAAGGAAGATTATGATAAACGTGCGAACGATTTGATAGTACCTTGTATAGCTTCATTCGCCAGCGCAATACCAGATGATTCTTTACACAAACTTTTGGTTTATCAAACATTGTTAAAAACTAGACACGCCAAGGCATACGTCAGAAGTGCCGCATTAAATGCTCTGGTGAGATAAACATTTCTATTAAGTAATTCATATCGTAATTAATTTTTTTTTTTTTTCAAATGACAATGTCATTATGCCATATTGATTATGTATCAAAGAAAATTCTTATTTTCTTTTTTTTTTTTTTCTTATTATTCGTTTTTTTCTTTTTTTTTTTTTTCTTTTCAGGTCGAAATCGCTCGAAAATTAGGAGAAGATTTTATGCCATTGTTACCGGAAACCGTACCTTTTTTAGCGGAGATGTTGGAAGACGAGGACGAAGCTACCGAAAAATGTGCACAAAATGCAGTGAGAACATTGGAGGAAATTTTAGGAGAGCCATTACAAAAATATTTTTAATTTTAATCAATCCGACGGTTTCTTTTTTTCATTTATGAATTCGTCGAATGGAATCATACGGTGCATGTAAAAAAGAAAGAAAATTTTTATCAATTATCTTCCATAATTTGTTATATTAAATTGATTTATGTGAAATAATCGATATCGATCTCGTAGTTTGGACATTTAATTACGAATTTTAGGAGAATAAACGAACGATTAGCTATATTCGAGATAATAGTTTCTTTTCCATTTTTTTTCTTTTTTTTTTTTTTTTTTTTTTTTTTTTAGCCAGACAAGCCTTACCTATTACGAAAAAACATTCTTTTTATTTTATAAGTTATTCACAATTTGGACGAAATATAGAATATATTATTTTCTTATATTATATAATACATTTTTCGTTAAAGTATACGCAATGTCATGGCCGTACATCATATCCATTTAAATATATAATAACGTGTATATATGTACATATACGTATGTACATGCCTATGTATATACATATATCTACATAAATACACGCATTAATTATTATTCACGGTGTACGTGTACGCAACGTTGGATTTTTTCTCTCTTCTGTTTTTTCTTTTTTTTTTCTTCTTCTTTTCTTCTTTTTTCTTTTTTTTTTTTTTTTCTTTTTCTTCTTTTGAGAGAATTCTTAAAGAATATATACACACTTTATGTTTTCTTCGTAATAGCGTATACATCATTGCATCTATTTAGATGCGAAAAAAATGAGCGTTTCATTTTGAGCGCTCACATTTAAATGACGCCTCTTATTCGCCGGAAGTATATATGAACTAGGCCTTTGATTAACTTTCTGCATGAACGACAAAATTGACATTAAACGTAATTAGTCTTCTCCTTTGGAATCACACTTGTGGAACATCCGTCGCTTCATTTCTCAAGGCCATCTCTTCTCCTTGCGCCGTCATTGGAATTTTTCTGTGGCAAAAAAGAAGAAGAAGAAGAAGAAGAAAAAAAAAGAAAAGGTTTCATCATTCATCGTCTCTTTTTATTCTCCATTTATTTATTTATTCATTTACTTGTTTATTTATTTATTAAGAGAGAAAGAGATATTTGATAAAAAGTGAGTTTTATTTTTTCTTGAATACAAATAAGACAAAAAAATTATTAATAAACAACAGGAAAGATAATTTATAAGGAATATAGCCTTACCTCTTTCTATATTGGAATATAATATAGACAATAATGGCATTGCCAACGAACAATAAAGCGATCAGGACGGTTGGTAATACGACATCTGTAAAACAAAAAAATAATCGAATTTATTAATCTGTTTAAAACGTCAAACGAACCGCCGGCCAAAGTTTTCGTTCCCTTTCTACTTTAATATCATCAATATCATCGTCATCATCATCATCATCATCATCATCATCATCATCATTATCATCACCACTTCGTTGTCTCTTACGACTAAACACGCTATGGTAACATGACATAGTGAACTTTGAACGCGTTGAGACTAACGGAACGACATTCATAACTCATTTCTCTTCTTTTTTGTCCTTACAAATATATTATATTAATGATAATTTTTATGACCAATTTATTTGACAAAATTAATAAAATAAAAAATATAAATACATTGAGAAAGAGAGAGAGAGAGAGAGAGAGAGAGAGAAGCAAAGAATGAATTCGTACCTTTCGAAACATTAACTAAGAATATTTAATACTAACAATTAAAAAAGATCATCGTACAAAGATCAATGTACGATTCTTGGATGTTCGTCGGTAAAAGAATATGAAGATGAAGAAGAAGGAGAAAGAAAAATAAAGTAAATAATGAAAAAAGAAAGAAAAAAAAAAAAAAAAAAAGTAAAAGAAAAAAAAAAGGCGATTACTTCAAGAGTAATCTTCTTGTTTGCAGCTGTTATGTATCATTAATACGAGGAACCATTTATCGTCGGAGAAGAAAAGTTCCAATCGGAAAAACTAAGCAAAGCCATTATTTATCAATAAAATGGAAGATTTATCCTCGAACAAGTTCGATGTACCGAATGATAAAAATTCCAATTAATTCGAATTAATAACTAATAATTAATTCGTATCATATCGATAACAGGAGCATTTGAATATTTATAAACGACACATTGGATTTTCACTGGCTGTACACCATTATAAAGAATTTTAATGTTAATGAAATAATCTGTTTTTTTTGTTTTTTTTTGTTTTTTTTTTTTTATATATAAACGTAAAGAAGAGAATAATTCACCGACCTACGACGTAGTCCGCTTGCTTCATCATAGCAGATTGCGCCGAATCCATAGCCTGGCCGTTTCCGTTTGCGAGTGCGCCTTCGCCCCTACCGATTCTTACGCCCCCACCAAGAACGTTATCACCCGAGAGACTCGATAAATGATGATGTTCGTTCTCTGTCTTGAGAATTACCGCGGACGTAGCTGAAAAAAGGAAAAATAAATAAGACATGAATGAAATAATATTAAACGAACGATTATCAATGATTTTTACTTATGTCCATAGGACGGATTCAATGATCTTAAATATATAATTTTAAAAAAAGAACAAATTTCCCCTAGGAAATTGTTAATACGGCCCTGAGACTCTTTTGTATTAGAAGCTTGAAATTCGACTCAATCGATTGCATTCCTTTCTCTATGACTATATCTTAACACGATTGGTACGTATCGTGTATTGTTAATAAACAAACAAAAAGGGAAAATATTAAAAAAAAAAAACAAATATTTCATAAGAAGTTTGATTGACAAAAAATTGATCTGCTTATTCATTAATTTCATTGATCTTTTATTGATATTATATAGAGACTTTTTTTTCATCGTAGTCATCTTTGACTTATCCTTGATTTATTAAAAAAAAAAAAAAAAAAAAAAAAAAAAAAACAATATCGAATTATTTTAATTCGATCGAAAAAAAATCATGTCTATCATTATTTTATATTTAAGTTCACTATAAATTGATATATATATATATATATATAATATATATATAAATTGATATATATATATATATATAATATATATATAAATTGATATATATATATATATATATATATATATATATTATATAGATAAATATTTCATTTTTATTTACATATTTTCATTCGTATTTACGATATTTACATTTGCGTTCGTAAATATTATTTAAATCTATATATATATATATATATACATATATATATATGTATATATATATATATAGATACATATATATATATATATATATGTATATATATATATATAGGTATATATATATATATATATATATATATATATATATATATATATCGGATTGTCCGAAAAGTACGTGCCGATTTTGCCGACATCTACCAAAAATATAATATAAATATATATATATATATATATATATATATATATATATATATATCCTAATATATATATGTGTGTGTGCGCGTGTGTGTGTACGTATGTGTATGTGTGTGAGTGAGTGAGTGTGTATACACATTCGATTAGAAACGATCTTTATTCAAACATTATTCAAAAATCATTCGTATTGAAATATATATATATATATATATATATATATATATATATATATATATATACATACATAAGTACAACTCGGTCACGTTTCCGTTTCTCTTGAAGTGCAAGAAATCCAATTTATGTACCGCTACACGTTCACGATCGTTTTTCTAGATCTCTTTCTCTCTCTCTTTCTCTCTCTCTCTCTCTCTCTCTCTCTCTCTCTCTCTTTCTGCCTACCTATCTCTGTCTCTGTTTCTCTCTTTTACTTCGATCGAGAAACGTTGCCCTACAAATTGGATGAATTCGTTGGCGGTTTCCCTCTTCTCAGCTTTGAGAAAGTATATATACACTCGTGGAAAAACTTTTTCAACAAGCAAGACGCTTGTTTCGATATTGTGTGTTAATTTTCGTGATCTGACGAAACATTTCCTTTTTTGATTTTCTTCTTTTTGTTTTTTGATTTCTTTTATTTTTCAAAGATTTACTTGGGTCGATCTCCTGTAAATCATTGTCTTCTTTCACGCGTACGTTAATTTCATTAATTTCAATCGATAAATCAAGTATATTTTATAATAATAATAACAATACCAATAATACTATTACTATTACTACTACTAATAATAATAATAGTAATAATAATAATAATAATGATAAATAAATTTATGATTTAAAAAAATATCAGGTCAGTCCAAAAGTTCGTGCGCATTTTGCTACATACATACATACTACTAATGCGCACGAACTTTTGGACTGATCTAATATTTTAATATTTGATAATTTAAAGAATTATTAATAATTTTAAAAATCTTTCGATAACTTTTTGTTTTTTCTTTTTTTTTCCTTTTTGTTTTCATTTATAAATATCCTACAGCACATAACAATTACTCTTATATTATTACTTTGTGAAATGATTAGGCTGCACGGAATTGGTTACTCTATTGTCTCGTAAAGCTTTCTCTATTTTTTTTTTCTTTTTTTTTCAAAAGAAAGCGTCGAACGAAATGTTAGAAAAAAAGGAAGTGAAGAAAATGGACGAAAAAAAAAACGGAAGTTAGAAACTGTATATCGTTGTAAACGAAATTGCTGCCCATTCTTTGTGTTTCTTTTCGAACAATATCGAAGGGAAGTAAATTGTGTTCAAAACAACAAACATAAAACGTATTTACGAGCGAATTCATGGCTTTCCCGTTATAGTCAAATAATTCAATTTCGTTTGTTATATTTAACAAAAGTCATTTTTTAATTTACTACACAATTAGTCGATAAAATAAATTTATGAGTATGACATAAATGAAAAGAATAGAATATGAAAAAATTATATTTCGTACGTAAAAACAAAAGACAAAAAAGAATAGAGAAAGAAAAGAAAGAGAAAAAAATACGAAAGTTAGATCAATAAAGATTAAATATTAATTAGAAATAACAGGATGTATAACAAAAAATATCATTTCCGAGATGATAAATCGATGCGTTGCAAATTTACATTAAATTGAGATTAAATGTAAATAATGTCGTGATAACGAAGTAACCTTATCATTTAATAAATATAGTATTTAATAATAAAACGATTAAATAATAAATGATAACTTAACGATTAATATTTTATAAATCTTATATATTCAAAGATATAATAATAAGATTAAAATATAAATATTAAGGATAGAAAAATTTAAAAGATAGACAATTTGTATTATCTTTAAACACATACGTACACGCACACGTACCTATATAATACGTACGTAATAATCGAGTTTTATTTCATAACCATGAATTACACGTTATGTCTTGACATTGAAGATAATGATAAGGAATTTGGAAAATACGCATCACGTATTTTTTTTGTTTTTTTTTGTTTTTTTTTTTTTTTTATTTCTTAGTTAAGAAATGTAAGAAGAAATTAGATATATAGGATAGAAAGGCTTAGAAAAATAAAGGAGAATATTTTACTTGATAATGATTATTTGTTTCGAAAATTGGATGTTTATCTTACGACGACGATTAATCGTCCTCATATGAGTAAAGAAAATGAAAGAGATAAACGAGAGATAATGAAAGAGAAAGAGAAAGAGAGAGAGAGAGAGAGAGAGAGAGAGAGAGAGAGAGAGAGAATGAGAGAGAATGAGAGAGGAAATGAAAGAGAGAAAGAAAGGATTTTTTTACGAATTGAGTATCGAAATAGCATTTTTTGTTTGTTTTCTTTTCTTCTCCATTTGGTACGATGCAAAGCGAAAAAAAACGATATTATCGATCTCTTATTATTTCTCCTTGATTCCGACTAATATAATCTATTGCATTTAGAATCGAGAAAATTTATCATATATTCGTATCACTTTAGATATTCTTTTATTTATGTATATAAAATTGACATAAACTTTATAAATACGAGATTAAAAGCAAATATTCGTTTTTCCTCATTTTTTAACGATTTCATAAAAAAGAATTCCCAAGAGAATTATAAAATTATTTAACATTGTATATCGCACATATCTGGATTGTAATACCCGGAAGTTGCGCAATTAACAATTGCAATATTATTGCATTCGTGAATTTTATAAATGATAATATAAAAGTTTGTAAATCTTATTAATATTCCTTCTAATATTATTATGCATGTGAAAGTTTAATTTGCAAATCATATTATTCTCTTAAAATAATTCAGGAATGTTTAACCTCCTGTTTATTGACAATATATACATACATAAATTTATTCGCCGGTTATGAAAAAGTGATTAGTCTGGAAAGAGAATGTCATTTCGATTATGATTGTAGATCATTTCTTATAGTTAATACGTTCTCATAGTTATTAATTTTTCTAATATTTTTTTTTCTCCCCTTTTTTCTTTTTCTATTTTATTTTATTTTATTTTATTCTCTTTTTTCTTTTTTTTTTCTTTTTCTTTTCTTTTTAAGTTTACCTACCATTAACTCGCGTTAACTAAGAAAAAGTTTTAATTGGGATCCATTCAATGGTTAAAACGCTTCCCTTACATTTTCCTTCGTTATTTCTTAATATTTTTCGATATTAAACTTTTGCGTGAAAGGCAAATCTTTTAAATGAATCCAATCTCATTGGAATCGGCGAATGTGGTAAAATATCTAAAAATAAATAAATAAAAAAAAAAAAAAAAAGAAAAAAAAGAAAGGAAAAAAAGAGAAATAAATTAGAGCGAACGACGACACATTTTTTCTGTTATTCTAATCTCGGATTGCAAATGATTTTATATCACTTTTGAGCATTAAATTTACTTCATATCAACGTCGTAACTTTGTAATTTATTATATTCTTACGTCTTCGTAACTTCAATGCAATAACTTTTTTGATGAATGATCTTTGATGATTGAGGTCATTTATTTATCGAAATATCATTTTTTAATTAAGTAACTTTTTACGGGACACAAGTTTCGATCACGTTTCGGCCTTGCGACCGAACCGATTATATTTTCCATATAAAAAAAACAAAACAAAAAAAAACAAAAAAGAACAGCATTGATATAACGATCAAAAATAAAGAAAAAATAAAGAAAAAAATAGAAAAGAAAACATATTATCTTATTATTCTGATAACAACTTAATAAATAAAGAAATATATATATATATATATTATATATGATTTTCTTTCTTAAAAAATTTAATATTGTCAATTTTTAAATTTAAAGAAGTTCCCTTATTGAAAAATTCATACATTTCTTTTTACATCGATCGATCAATCATACTTTCTTCGAAGAAATGATTGCACCAATCATTTGAAAAGTTTTTCGAAAGTCCAGGAGTAATTCAATCGTGGTCAAAATGGTCAGAGGTGTTAGCACGTACTACTAAAGCGGACGCTACTCGAATGAAGTCATAAGAGGGTTCTTTTGTTCATCCTTGTCAATCTACGACAATTGTCCGTGCCTCTTTAATCTAATTGATTCACGAGTCCACAAGATGATGTTACTCGACTCAATATACATATATATATATATACATATATATTTATATATATATATATATATATATATATATATATATCTTCCTGTTTTCCTTTTTCTCTCTCTCTTTGATTTAAAAATATTCATGTATTCTTGTAAACGAACTCAAAAATCATTCTAACGATGTCATCGATTTGTTTTTTCTTTCTTCTTTTTTTTACGATCTCGCAAAGTATTATAATGCATATATGAAAATCCATCCAACTAGAAACTAGGAAATATGTACAATGTGTCTAAAGTTACATATATACGACAAGCGAACTCTTGATAATGATTTACGTAGAGCTCGTTGCATGTTTCGGTAAAGGAAGGAGCAAGAAAAAAAAAGGAAAAGAAAAAAAAGAAAGTAAAAAAAAAAGAAGTAAAAGGAAGAAAAAAGAAATTGAAAAAAAAAACGAGTGAATAGGAAGGGGAGTCATTGTTCTTAGAGATGAATTCCAAATGTAGGTCATATTTTTGAGAGACTCGAATATCTATTTTCCTAATACGTACAATATCTACGCTCACGTATTATTGTACCTCATGCGAATTTCATTCAAGTACAATTCCTTCCGTATTTCTTATTTGATGTTATTTCTTATTAGATAACTTTTTTCAAGAAAAAAAAAAAAAAAAAGATATTAATATTTACGAAACGACGAATAAAAAGTGTATTAAAATCACTATGTATATACATATTTATAAAAGAAAAAAAAAAAAGATTACGATGATTTATACAATTATGCATGATATAATCACTAAATATATTCACACTAAATTAAATTGTACAGGTTGAATAATACGTAAAGAAATCGGATATTTTTCTAAATAAATTCGTGTATATCGTTACAAAGATAATGTATATTTAAGTCTTGTAAAATCATATGTAAAGATATGTTAAATGATATATTTTATGATTAATAAAATCACGAATGTACGTATATTCGATACAGAATAATATCGTGTACAATACAAAAAAGAAAACTGAATAATTAAAAGGAAAAGAAACGAAGTAAAAAACGATCGCACAGAAAATGAGAATATCTTTTTTTTTTCGATCAGTTGAAATAATGAAACCTTACAAATTCAATAAATATCATAGATTATTCATTCAAGAGCAATTCTTTCTTCATTTATATTTGTTTCATATTTGATGTATCTTTTTTTCTATTTTCCTCTCTCTCTCTCTCTCTATCTATCTCTCTATCTCTTTCTCTCTCTGTTCATATCGAAACAATTCGAGCGATGTTACTTGACATGGAAAATAATTTTACGTTAGATCGAACACTATTCGAAATATCAATATGATGTCAAATAAAGAGTAAAGAGTAAAGAGCAATACTCTAGTGCAGTTCTCTGCTACGTTGCGTCAGTCACGTATTCCACGTGCGAAGCACGAGTAGAGGGACTCGTTTATGAAGAAAGAAAGTCGAGTTTAAAGACACGTGCGAATGGAATGAAGAATAAATATCGATCGGACAAATGTTCTTTGCATTTTTACATAATCAAAGTCATTTGGAGTTCTTTTGTTTAAAAAAAAAAAAAAAAAAAAAAACAACATTTTTTTTTAAACATTTTTTTCTCGACAATATTTTTTTTAAACACACACATATATATATATATATATTTTATATATATATATAATATATATATAAAATATATGTATAATTTATATTATATTTATATATATGTATGTATGTATGTACGTATATAAAAGTAAAATATAACTTACTGATTAAATTCCTGAAGGTGTCGGTGAAGATTCGTATCATTTTGAAGTAACAAGATGGCGATTTCTCTTAATAAAGTAATTAAGTACGTATGTATGGATGTGCGTATACTATACGTCCGTGTATATATTTGCGTGTACGATTCCGTACCGGACACTACCGATGGAGAATATATTAGCTAAAATTCGGCACCATCACGCGTTTCTGCATGACACATTGTATTACGCGATTGTATACAATTTTTTTCCACTTCTTTCCAAACGAAAACAGAAAAATACAAATTATAGAGAGAGAGATAGATAGATAGATAGATAGATAGATAGATAGATAGATAGATAGATAGAGAGAGTGAGAGAGAGATAGTGAGAGAGAGTGAAAGAGAGAAATTAAAAAGAAAAAATATAGAAAGAAAGAAAGAACACTTATGATATTCGTATACAAAACTTGCTTTTTATTTTATCCCCTTTCGTTCGAGCCTCTCGTTAGACACGAGAAATTCTTTTTCTCTCTCTTTCTTTGGTTTTCCCACCAAACTGAAATGGTTCCCGCGCACTACGTAAGACTTTGCTTCTTGCTTTTCTCTTCCTTTATAACCTTTTTTTCACCAATAATACTCGGAGTCGCACTTATTTCTCTTTTCTTCTTCTGATATTCTTTTTTCTCTCCCTTTTCTTCCTTTATTTAAGATCTTTCGACGAGACGAAAATCAAATAGTCCAAAGTGAGATATTACTTCTCATCGTGAAAAGGAAATTTTCTTTAATGTTTCCAGAAAAAAGAAAACAAAAAATAGAAAATATCAAATATATATATATATATGTGTGTGTGTGTGTGTGTGTGTGTGTGTGTATGTATGTATATATGTATATATGTATCTATTTATGAATATATGTATATATATATATATTCTTTTTTTCTTTTTTTTTTTTTTTAAAAGAATTGGCACGAAGCCGATGCGTTCGCGGAACAAACTGAACTGAACGAGATCGGTGCTATTTTGTCGATTTTATTATCGGAGATGAACGACGCGTGGCGTGATGGGAAGGACGTTCACGGCGAATCGACGCCTTCTACTAACAGATGCTCTTTGACCCCAGGAAAAGAGAAAGAAAATATATATATACGGAACTGTATAGACAGAAGAAGAAATAGAAAGATGTAGAAACGCGGATAAATAGTAAAAAAATATCTGTATGTATATATGAATATTTATACTGTACGCTTTATATATACACACACATATATATATATATATATATATATATATATATATATAAAATTATTTGTATCTACGTTAAAGAACGTTGTAATTAGTAAGGCTTCGCTTCTTATCTCTTATCGACTGTAAGCCAACAGTCCTTCCTCGATCATTTTTGTAACTCCCCACCCGTACTGTCGTAACATTCGTCAAAGTTCGGTAAAATTCGGTTTCGCGCGTAGATCTTTCTTCTTTCAATTCGAGTCAAACGAGTCCGACAATTCTTTCCAAGGCATTTTCTTTTTCTCTCTTTCCCTCCCTCTCCCTCTCTCTCCCTCTCTCTCTCTCTCTCTCTCTCTCTCTCTCTGCACGTTTTTTTTCCTTTTCTTATCTTATTTTTTTCTTTTTTTCTTTTACTGTGTTTTTTTCTTTTTTTTTTTTTAATATGTAACTTTACAAGATTTTCTCTCAATCGTTTCTCTTAGATTTATTCGAATCGAATAAATATATTAAATTTCGAACGATAAATAGCAAATATCTTAAAAGATTATCCGAATGATAAATCGAAATATCTTATGAGAAAAATACCTTTTGTTTACTTATGATTTTTGTAAATGGCACGGACTTGATCTATTTGTCCACACGTGGACGATCTTTTTTATCAGTTTATAATCTTCGAATATTTTATTGTTGTTTGTGCGAAAGAAAAGTTCGATACTTTATACAGTTACGATCGATCGATAAGCCATACTTTCCAAATAGAAATGAACTCTATCTCAGAAGAAAAAAAAAGAAAAAAAAAAAAAAAAAAGGAAAACAGACAAATTTATATACACGATCTTAATAATCGCGGTAACTGGTCAATCGATTTTTCTTGTAAAATGCATGTCAAATGCTATTTCCTGTATCCTTGAATCAACTTTGTAATCCTTTCGAACAGGAAGGAGAAGAAGCTATGATGGCGTAATTCACGATTGTCCTTGAACAATAAACTCATATCAATCCTTTTCAAATGAGAAAAAAGAAAAGAAGAACATTAATTTCTTATTCTTTCTTATAGTTTTGTATCTCTCTCTCTCTCTCTCTCTCTCTCTCTCTCTCTGTCTCTCACCTCTCTTGCTTCTCTCTCTCTCTCTCTCACCTCTCTTGCTTCTCTCTCTCTCTCTCTCTCACCTCTCTTGCTTCTCTCTCTCTCTCTCTCTCTCACCTCTCTTGCTTCTCTCTCTCTCTCTCTCACCTCTCTTGCTTCTCTCTCTCTCTCTCTCACCTCTCTTGCTTCTCTCTCTCTCTCTCTCTCTCTCTCACCTCTCTTGCTTCTCTCTCTCTCTCTCTCTCTCTCCTTCTTTTTGTTTCTATTGCGCATCAGAGTGCAAGATCAATGAGTTACTTATTTTACGCAATTTATTTTAAATGATTATTAGAGGTAGACGAAAAGGTAGAGGAAGCGAGAGAGATAGACAAACAGACAAACAGATAAACAGACAAACAGACAGAGAGACAAACAGACAGAGAGAGAGAGAG